AACTTTTCGTATTATACAGGGTGTAACTAAACAAACGCATATGGACAACACTATCAGATACAGAACAACAATTCAAATCGAAAAGTCCTAAACCATTTTTTGATCTGAGCTTTCTTTTCGTTGTTATGTGATGTTAAAGTTAGCTAATCAGCGCCTGTCTATACAGCAGAAAGCCGTCTCGCTACTCCGACGCCCGTCGTACCTTCTCTGTTTTCCGTTGTAGACAGGCGCTGATTAGTTAACTTTAACATCATATAACAACGAAAAGAAAGCTCAGATCGAAAAATGGTTTAGGACTTTTCGATTTGAATTGTTGTTCTGTATCTGATAGTGTTGTCCATATGCGTTTGTTTCGAAATCGCGGCGCCGCATGTATAACGAATACGCACCAAATTCAACATCCTACAATATGATATTATGATATTATGGTATTATAACATTTATATGTGTATCTCCATCTCCAGTCCGTATCCTCTTGTCAGAGGATGGAACTTCTCTGTGTATATCTGTGGTGTGTGTCCTTTTTGGTATCTTTTCCATAGCATATGGGATCTACAATTTAACGCCGGTTCCGAACGACTGATTAGAGGGTTCTTTTGGCAAGATACTCTCGGTGGTTTGCCATTGCCTTCCGAGAGGTGGCGATTGAATAAAACTGAATGTTTCTGGCTAGATTTGGCACAGAGAGTAAACGTACAACTTTACGCCACGATTGCATATATATGTGTATATATTATTATTATATTATTATCACTTTTGAAAACAATTATGTTTCTTTGTATATAAATTTTTATTTTATTTCTTATATTACCGTTTGTATTATTTTTAATGCTCTTTTGTATATACAATTCTTAGAGATCTTACCGTAGAAAGTATATCCCCTTGTTCTCTCTTTTTCTCTTGATATCTAACTTTTCTTCGGAGATGTTGGGGTGTGTCCCTTTTTCACGCATATCAAGGTACTTGCACTCTTTGTCCTTCAGCTCTAATACAATAGTATTGTATGATTCAGTCATACAACGTTGCAATGCACCAATGCTACCGCGTCACGGTGGAGGCATTATTTCGGCATCCATTGTTTACCGTGCAATATTCTTTCGTTTTTTTGTGATACTAACAATAGAAGCACTTTATTCTATTCTTTATCCGTTTTTTTACTTTTATTTTCTTCTTTTTACTTTTTCCGTCTTCACATTACTTCATCCTGATGCACACTCTCTTTTTTCCTGTAATGTGATCAGCAATTATTCAAATATAAATTAAATAATTTGCATTTGACATTAAGAAATAAAAAAAGAGATGTGTCAGTAAATTCTTAATAATTAAATCTCGAGTTTGTAGATTTGTATTTGAGCATTAATTTCAACAATAAAGACTGTAGTTTGATTGACTTGTTCGACAGATAATGAGAATCATTGATCTTTATCAATAATTATTGATAACAAAACAAGTAAAGAGTTCGATACTAAATTGGTATTCATTAGATTTTTTTCTTGCTTGGATTATTAATAATAGTTTCACTCAAAAATCGGATAAAGTAATGGCGATCGAAGGAAAAGTTCGTACATTCATAAATGACATTCAATTTGATTATTCAAAATTATTTGTTACTCATAATATATTATTAATTTACAAATTAAAATATTTAACATCAAGTTTTTGGCCAACAAATATTTCAGATCGGAATTACAATTGAATCAGTTTGTAATCTCGCAAAGGATTAGAAAAGATCGGTCGATGAGATGCGTTTAGTGCCCGTTTTTTGATCATGTCAAACGGCCATACTTATCGATATCAACCTGTCTGCTCGTAAAAATTCTCGACGGAATCTCCCGAACATTATCCGATTTACGATCGTTTTATCCGCACGCTGCACCTTCGCGTATCCGAAATGTTCCGACGGACTCCCAATTTTGCAACATTTTTACTGGCGTCGCGGCACTTAATGCGCGACTGAATGCACACTCGTTATGCGTTCTCTCGGTGATATACGGTTGATAATGGGTCGAGTGAGAAACGTAGGAAACTCGTAACCGATTAAACGGACGATTTGAAAAGATTGTTCCGCTGGAATAGTTTTGCAGAAATCATTTAATGTTGGATGTGCTGACCGACCGATATATTTATTGCGTTTACCGAATATATTATATATGTCGGATTATAGAGAAAATTATCACACTCGCATAATTTTCGCTTTAATTTTTTTATTTGATTATATGCTTACAAGCTTAAAAATAACTTAGATAAACGCGCATTCATATTTATAATACAAAGCATCTCGCATATTTTTATGAATCATGATCTCTCTATTGCAATTTTTTATCCCTGTGCTATACATATATATATATTTTATTAATTAAATTTTTTAATTTCGTGTAACAAAGAATTTTAAACGATATTTTGATCAAAAATTATTGTATTAATTTTTAAAAAATACTTAAGGAAGAGAGAGCTATTTCTAACAAAGTATTTAAGATATACATGCATTACGATCACAATTATCACAGGCGATTATACGACAAAATGCTTCACTTGCGTTATACAAAGCTATAGAAAGCTCACTGATATTATTTTTCGTTTATACAAACAGCTCTAATCATAAATCATTTCACTTTACAATCAGTAGTAAACGTTTCTTTTTAGCGTACATCTCGATTACCGTGATGTAAGCGCGATGTCCGTCGCATCGTTTTTTCAATCCTCTTCACGTTTTCTCGTGCACTCGATTATCACACGTCATTGAAGACATGGATTTACACCCGATTTCCGTTCCTTACGACGCATTTACATACATACATATTATGTTCAATCCAATTTTTTCTTTATTTTCTTGCAAATAATTTATCCAAGGGATAAAATTTCCCGTGCATGTGTGCGTACAATAAAAGATGTATAAATTAGTAATAAAAATTTCAGAGTCTAAGCGGATAAGTACATAATAATAATATACAACAAAGACAAAAAGACAAACATAATAAAATATACAAAATAATAATATACAAACAAGTACATAATAATATATACATAATGTAAGCAAAAAATAGAAACAGAACACGTAATAAGCATGTAAAATCTACAATTATACGCATACTATCCAAGCAAGTAAAGTTCAAAAAATTGTGTTACTAGATATTGCATACATAATGTTCTCTTTAACAAGATGTTAGAATAATTAACTATGATTTGTGATTGAGATGTCGATTATTTGATACAATCACAGCGCGCGTGCATTGAAATAACAAATTAAATTAAATAATAAAAAAAAAATTAATAATAATAGCATCAACAATAATGCTATTCTTACTGTTGCCACTGAATTTTATGTAGCAATTTACTTTTAAGTGGGTATTTATTTATACGGTAGAGATAAACGCAGAATTTATATACCGTTCGCGATGAGATATACAATGATTTCTCGATCCTCTTTCTGTCTCTCTCGAGTTTCATGTTCACCAATTTAGTTTCCATTAAAAGCGAACGTCGTGACATCGCATGATACTTATCAGGGGCCGGTTATCAGGAGAATATAAAGCTTGACCATACGAAGTATAATCGCCTTCACGGCTTTAATTACGAAAATAGCTTATTGTCACTGATAGTGACCGCGTTGTTTCGTGTTTCCGCGTAGATAGCTTGGACGCTTTGTAAATAAGGGATCCAAGAAATCATGGAGCAACGTACGAGTAACGCGTACTGGGTTCGAAAAAAGCAACGCGGCCACGTAGGTAATGCTATTACGATGCATGTGTCAAGAATCAAACGCGCGTACGCTGTAGTAATTATGCGTTACAAAACTGCCATAACGATTTCGCTTTGGAAAGCGCTTATTAGCCACCGACCGGAAATCTATCTAAAAAAATACGATAACCGAATACGCATATACATATGTCAATCGATGCCGCAAAAAATATCGCGTGACTTTAATATCAATCGCGAAGTTCTATCGAAGATACTTCTCAGAACGTAATCGATAAATTACGTGTATTTTACATTGTTACTTAAGAGTATAAGTATACATATATATAGTTCAAATTAATATAATTTATAATTAACCGATTTATATAATGTGTGTGTTAACAATCAATCGTAAAAAAAACTACATTAATTTCTCGCGAAAAAAAAAACATGACATTATCTGTTTGATCAAAGGTCTAAAGTACGGAAAGAGAGAAAAAAGTATTGAATACAAGTATAATTATTTTGAGATTGTTTCTTTTAGCTCAGTACAAATCGAAAAAATGTTAATTAATGAATGCAACACCGTTTTAGTATTATACTTCACGGCTGAAACAACGACGATAGATATATTCGTTTGATAGAGCGTCATAAGTACAGCCGCGAGCAATCACATATTATAAAACTAATGACCGCGGTTTTGCAAGCGTCTACTTAGAAAGCGTTACAATCTACGGAATGCGCCTTTTATCTATGTGTTTTCTTTTACGATCAAACTCAAACTGAATATTTTACTCGACTGGTTCGCATCTTTCCATGGTAAAATGAACTGACAGGTGCGCTACATAATCAAGAAAGCAACTTCTAGTATTACTGTACGCAAACATTTATATTCGCATCATCGATCATGTGTTCAATTCGGAGCAGCCATGTGTGAGAATCGGGAAGAAAACAATAGCAAACAATTAAGTGCCGAGGAATTCCTTGAAATTAATACAGTTGCCTCGAATAAATGTATTATTCTAATAGAGAATATATAAATTCAGGAAATATATAAAAAAAAACTATAGAAACGTAATATTTATTACTTCTACGTGAAAGATATATTAGTTTTTGCCTTCCTCCTACTTAATTGCTTTAATTCATATTCTCCTCGATACGCAAGCTTGACAGAAATAAAATTTGATTTTTCAAAGTTATGTAGTCAAACCTGAAATATATATTTCCAATTTAAATTACATGCAAGTAAATAAAACCATTAGTAAAGTCATTATTCTGCATGCAAGTAAATAAAATCATTATAAAGTCATTATCCTGAAAAAAGTGCAATTTTCTTGCGACGAAAATCATATGCTTATCTAAGCCGAGTAATGAAGTAAAACACATGCTCTCGCTATCTGGCTCGTCTGCCTTTCGGTCAGGTGTTTACCAAGCTTGTGAATGTGTAAAACCACGGGAACGTAAAACAGAGCGTGTCACGCGCGGCAGCATGTGTGCGCGTGCTACCAGCATTCCATTGTATCGTATGAATGAACCGTGCTGTCCGGAAATATATTTCGACTGATCGATAGCACCCAAACTGTTCCCAGCACGACATCGACGCGCAAATATAATTTCAGCGTTTGCCAGTTAATGGAAAATGCGAATTACGTATTCCAAATCGCTAGTCGCTTTATATTGTTGCTCCAATTAATGACAGATCCAAAATTAGATACCGGCAAATGATTATTGTTATTTGAATGTTGCGTAAGAAATTAATTTCAAGAAATGCGCAGCAACATATTGAATGCTCGATTAATAACGCTGCTTATAAAATCAATTACTATAAATATCTGATTTTTAACCGGGAAGTCGGGAAACCTCGAGTACTCATCCACTTTTTCTACCGAAGCAGCGGTGCTTTGCATATCGTTGTGTACGACGTGCGTATACAAAGAAATATCTCGGGCTCGCAAAAAAGCGCGTAATCTGCATATGTCGTTAGGAATGATCGATGAACCCATCGGTAAAGCTCGGATAACCGTCATTAACGCAGTTGCTTTTTGCTCGCAGTCGCGAGTACGCTCGCAACGAGCGTTCTCCTTGCCAAATTTTTGTGCGATTTAACGGCTGCCCGACGAAAATCGGCTGATTCGCCGCATAAGAAATAACGAAAATGCGAATGAGCGTCATGCGAGGCATCTGCAATTTAATCCTTATTTATCTTCCTTAACGATCATCGCCGTTTCTTCTGAGCTTTTAAAAGATAATTTATTTTTGCGAGTCCACTCCGACATCGGTAGTTTGAAAATAAATAAATGAAACAAATTAATCTATTTTCAATTTTCTATTTTTGTTGGAAAATTAAAGAAATATATTCATCTTGTGTCATATGTGAGATTTTATTATAACTAAATAAATTATTATAAATAAATTCTCATTTATTATAAATCTTTTCGCAACTCAAGTATACTCTAGAAATATTTTAATAATATTATTATTATATAATATTTTCCTGAATACTATTATATTTCTCTCAAGAGAGACTATGTATTCGTAATTTCACATTCTA